AGAAACTTCCTGACAGTTAGAACAATTAACCAGTGGAACAATCTGCCTCCAGAAGCGGTGAATGCACCAACACTGGAAGTTTTTAAGAAGAAACTGGACAGCCATTTGTCCAAAATGGTATAGGGTTTCCTGCCTGAGCAGGGGGTTGGACTAGATGACCTCCAAGGTCCCTTCCAACTTTATCATTATTATTATTATTTAGGATGAAACAGAAAACTGGTTTTCAGAAGTTTATCTTAGTTTAAGCATTAATTTCCCACAATGCAACATTGAGGTTTCAGAAAAATATAGCCTTTCAGTAGAAACCTTTGGCTAAGTTGCTAAAAGCATTTGCTGACGCCCATATACCTTTCTGAAATTCTAGCCATAATGGACAAATCACAATCAATGAGACTGTGGGGGGAGGGGGAGGAAATGATCCTACTACAGCCCACTCCTATTGGAAAAAAAATAGGCCACTTTGCTGGTTGCACACCTCTTTTAGAAAAGTGCATATGGCTATTTACATTCAATGTCTCAGGAAATCAATCTCTCCTCGTCCCTTTCCTTAATTTAGAAAATACTGTGAGTAATAAATGTTCCAAGTAGCCTCCCACATATGGTAAATCAGCTCTACAAAGTTCTCTAAAAATGTACTGCAGGTTGAGAACCTTCAGGAGAAAGGAAAGTCTACTTCACTGGCACATATTATACACAACAGACACAACAACCAGGAAACAATTTCACTTAGAATCGATGCATATCTTTGACAGACAAGTGGAGCGAAAAATTTAGTACATAACATCTTGGTTCTGACCATGTAGCAGCATCTCATTTATTCAGAAGTGGAAGGAACTTTTAATAGCAGCAACACATTGCAAAAACTGCCAGTAAAAGTGTCAAAGGAGTTACAGCTCCAGAAAATGGCTCATTAACTATGCAAAGTATCTTACTACAGTATAAAGCAGTGGCTCCCAGCTTTTTCTATACCCCGCACCCCTAGAACGCTTCTGATATATTCTCGCACCCCTTACAAAAGTTCAAAAATAACAAATTATTGAGCACCCCCAGTTGGGAACCCCTGGTATAAAGCTTTAAATATTGAAATCAGTGTGATGCCTTTCAAAGTGTACATAGAAAAAAAAATCTTTACGAAGATAAAATACAACATCCATTTTCACAATCTTCTCAAGAACTAGAGCTGTTAACTGCAAGTTTTGCATGTAACATCAAAATAACTTCTCATTCCCATGTCATTCACCACCAAATACATTAATCTTATCAATGAACGCGATCTAATTCCAAAATGGTTCCCTTAGTTATCAGTTACAAAAAGATATATCTAAAATAGTAAATAAAACCAAAGAATAAGGTAGCATTTATTTTGGTTAACATGTTTTATTTTGGCAGAAATGTCCATACATGAAGTGTGATGATGCGTTTCTGTCTGAAGAGCAAATTCATTTTTTACAAAAGATTTACAACTTTTTTTTTAAAAAAAAAATAGTTATATCATACAAAAAAGAACATGATCCAATCAGCGTGGAAGTATATAGGTATTAGTGATGAAAATGAACAGTATAAACAAGGAAAGAAACATTATTTTCTGAAATTGTGTTTAGATCCTTTTTGCTTCCTTTTTCAGTAGCCGCCAACTGTCTACTAAATGGAGTTCTGAAGCTCATGTTTACTAGTGAATTCCATCTTGGCAGCATCAAAGAGGACTTAATGTGGTGCAGTGGATACAACAGTGGACTGGAAGCATGGAGATCCAAGTACAATTCCAGTCTGTCTTGGGATGAACTTGGGCCAGTTACTGTTTCTCAGTCCCATCTATCTCCCAATGTTATTGCTGCAAGAATATAAAGATAAAAACTGCTAATCTTTCTAGACAAAAACTGGATATAAATGTAGTAAATCAGTGTTTGTACTTAAAAAAATGACAATATTAAAATCTGCTGCAAAGACAGCCATTTAACCGAAGGGATCTGGGCTATGACGCGTCATATTTAATTTATCTATTCTACACCAAGAGTTTGACTAATCCATTGAAAACAGTATATTGTTGAAAATTGCAGCAGAAGAGGAAGTGGTTATGAGTTATCAGTGACTTGCACATGATGCACCAGTATAGTTTTGAGAATTCTACAAATTGTATAATGGTGAGGTATAAAACAGACTTAACACTGTGTATTTTATTTATGATACTAAATAATGGTGCAAGTTCAACATTCAGCGGGATGTATTTAATATTAGTTTGTCTAGCTATTCTTATGTATTTAAAAGGCAAGATTATAAATAAGTAATTCTTATACCAACTACCAAATGTAATGGGGACATATTTAATGATACAGTAGCATTCAGATCATTTGGGGAAGTATCCTGTATCTTCTCACCCACAGAACAGCATCAGCACAACATATTCTATTATCCCTCCAAAATCTACTTCAAAAGGATAAGATAACTCCTGGTGTATATTTTAAAGACAGTGGAAATAAAACTGCTATAGGATGGGAAATGTAAAACTGAATATTGACCAGGGTTCCATAATATTTAGAAGGGGAATTGTCAGAACTAAATTTAGGCTTCCAAATAAGCCCTAGATAAAATCACTTCATGCATTTGTCATCGTGTAAAAGCATTGAAGTTTAAAAATTTCTGTGCAATTAAATGTGTCCCAATGCACAAAAAGCCACATAACAATACTGGCAGTGGTATTTGTATACATTGATAGTGTATTTGGACAGTTTACAAAAACCACCATCAGCTCAAAAAAACAATAGCACCACAATTTTTATTTAGATTTTTAAAAGCACATCTTCCAAATTAGAATCAATTCGTCCAAAGTTCCTTTAAAGACTGGTTACATTTAGAACAGCTTTCAAATTTAAAATTGACAAAATCTATCCCAGTCATTTTATATAATATCCATAAATTCATCTTGCAGCAAGCAATACCGTATTTCCTGAAGTAGAAAGAACATCATGCAACTTGAAAATTATGGAAGGTATTAGCATCATTGGGGGGAAAAAAACCTCACATAAACCTGTCCGTTTTAAGTTGTAGCATGCAATTACTGTAGAAATAAGTTTAACATTGATTGCAACCATTTTAACATATGAGTCAAGTATAAACCCAGCTGTGGATTAAAGTGCAAGTAACTGTGCCAAAGTTTTAGAAGGCAGAACTGATACTATCACAAATGGTTATATAACTAACCAGAAGTGCTGACAGTCTTTTATAGGTTCTAAGAAAGCTTACTCTTGTTTTTTCTCAACTACCAACCAAATATGTATTCCAGAGCTTTAGACACAATGCTTTCATCTTTCCTTGGAGTTTGTCTGTCAGAAATTACCTACAAGAGAGACAAATTTAAATAAGTAATGTTTTATGCCTTTTTAACCAATATTCAAAAAAAGTGACTAGTATGTCTTCACTATGTTAATACAGAATACCTGGTAGTCACTACTTGATGCTTTATATGCAGTAGCTAGAGGTCTCATGGTGGAGATCCTTTGCGTGCTTGAAGGCTGTGCTTGGGCAGCAAATGATTTCATTGGAGGTGTGAAGACTGAAGTTGGGGACGATGCAGTCCCTCTATCTATATTTTCCATCACATTCTACAAGTAAGATCAAGAAATACATTTAGAGATGTCTCTAAACAATATTAAAGCTTTAAAAAAGGAGGGCATCGGTCTCTGCTTCACTAAGTAAACTAAAGTAAAAGGGTGAAGAGACATCCTACATGATTACCTTAATTTGAATTCCTGCATTCCATAGAGTTGGAAGGGACCTAAATGTCTCCTTCCAACTCTATGATTTTATTGAGAGCATTGAAAAAATCACAAACCACCATTTGGTTCTCCAAGTTGCCTACCTGTACCTTAAATGTTAAATTTGGTATTGTTGAAAAAAATTGATTTAAAATAGCAATACATGTTTAATATTCTGAACTAAGCTGGATGAAAATAGTGAATTCCTTGGACTAGAAAGTCATTTTCTGTGTTAAGTTCACATTCTTTATTGACTTCCATATTAATTTTCTAATACATTAAATGCTACCCATACAACCTGCAATAGACTGAAATAACTGCATTATTTGTATTTCTTATTATTATTTCTTCTAGGTTTTTCTCTGATTTAGGAAGTACAGATAGTCCTTGACTTACCACTGTTCATTTAGTGACCGTTCGAAGTTACAACAGCACTGAAAAGTGACTTATGACCATTTTTCATACTCAAGAGCATTGCAGAATCCCCTTAGTCATGTGATCAAAATTCAGATGCCAGGCAACTGACTCACATTTATGACCGTTGCAGTGTCCCGGGGTCATGTGATTACCTTTTAAGACCTTTTGACAAGCAAAGTCAATGGGGAAGCCAGATTCACTTAACAACCATGTTACTAATTTAACAATTGCAGTTATTCACTTAACAACTATGGCAAGAGTGGTTGTAAAGTGGGGCAAAATTTACTTAACAAATGTCTCACTTAGCAACAAAAATTGGGTTCAATTGTGGTCATAAGTCAAGGACTACCTGTATAGTACTGTTAAACACGTTTACCAACAAAGATTGGTTATGTCTCTACATTCTCCACCCTGTTCTGGGCTATTTTCCATGCTCACAACACCATATAACAACTCACTTTATCAATACAAGGTTTAACTCCAATCATGATAGATTCTCCAAAAATTCTTCCATCTTTGCTCAAGGCTTTCCGAGCCTGTAACTTTGATTGATATCGAATATGCATCCAATTTCCTGTATTAGACATCTACATTGACAATGTAAAAGAAAAAAAAAATTCAAAGCCAAACTGAGGGTGGGTTTTTGTTTTTTTTAAAAAAAGCAAAACTGTACACTAGCCTCACCACATGTTTTAGTATGTTTCCATACTGTGCAAACTGTAGCAGGATATATGAAGCAGATGCCTGTGGAAATCTGTAACATCAGTAAAAAAAGACTTGTATCACTATTTGAAATCATAAATAAAATATGCAATATTCCATCTACCTCAACATTATGCTACTGACAAGAGTCTCAAAAGTGCATAGAAATACATTATGACCAAGTCACTGACACTCTCTGAATAGCTCATTATATAGCATATCATTTGAAAAGTTAGCTTCACTTTGCAAATGATATGCTATATAAATGGGCTAGCAAGTTAGTCTAGGTGGAAAATACTATTTTAATTTACAATCAAGGGAGTAGTTTTTGGGAACAGCATCATCTCATGGGAAATACTTTTATTGATGGGCAAACTAAATCTCACACACAACAAGAGAGCAGTTTAATGTTTCTGACTTCAAAATAACTGCCTATTAAGGTTAAGGTTAAGGTTAATTTAATTTGTATACCGCCCTTCTCCCGTAGGACTCAGGGCGGTTCACAGCATATTAAAAACACAAATACAATATACAAGATACAAAAAATCATACAAAAATACACAAAATAACCCCACTAAAACCTAATTAAAAGCCAAATATTGATTGCTGTATTCCCATTAAAATTACTTTTTAA